GTGTTGAAATTACTATATAAGACGTTAATTAAGTGAGTCTTCTCTCTTTTTCTTGCGCGGCGATCAAGTATAAACATTTCAAAAGTAGAAGAGCAAGCCCTGCGTGAACCGAACTCGAAAGATGGAGTATGAGACTAAATAAACCTTTCATTTTGTACAAAAGCCGCGCAATTTAATTTATAAAGATAAAGTCCTATGGCTGACACTCCGAGTTCTGGTCTCCTTCGCCCCTCAGTAGTTGTTGATAACACGTCCAAGGAGCGACTGGCAGTCAAGAATCCATGCATGTTAAGTCCCGGGGCGGTATACGGCGGAAACTACGAAAGCCATCTTCCACAATATACAAGTGTTTATTGACAGTTATCTACGTAAGATAATCCTCATCTGTTTGCCAGATACAATCAGCAACATTCTACTATTGGGGAAGACAAACCAGATTCCAGATGAGGAAGAAATTAGAAAACAGCGCCGGAGGTGGATTGGAAACACATAGTGTAAATCGCATGACTGCGTCACCGGGTAAGCCTTAATTTGGAATCCCCAAAGTCAAGGGAGAAAAGGAACACAAAAAGGCACATTGCACAGAGAATTAAAGACAGAACATGAGAAGAATGAACAGCAATTGGACAGAACTAGAAAGGAAGGCCTAGGACCTATCGGCGGCCTTTGCTCTATTGGGAGTTACAAGCGTAAGTATGTAAAAGAGAATTTTTTAAAGAAGTCGATATGTTGTTTGCGATCACGTACACACAAACACGAACCCTGTGATTTTTTGGAATGAATTTTGTGTTAAACACATCCACTTTGGCTTAGCTACTCATAAATACGGCTCATTTTTAACTCCAAGTATTAAGAGACAGACATATTTCTGTAGTCATGTGTAAACTTGACGTAGAAATGCTTCAGTAGACTAAATACGAAATAAAAAGGCGTTATGTAATACAAATCCATTTAACTTAGTAATATACACCACAATAGTTGTTTTTAAAAAATACTTGCAAATAATTTAGGTACACTAAAGTTTATTCATTTACTACCACATATTACAATGTTTTCAGGTGTTATGTCTGATGTTGTATAGGTTGCAGAAAAGACATTTGAAAGATTTAATTCATGTTTCATATACATAAGACGTCCCCAATCAATTAAACTTTTACAGATTTTTCCAATTCTCACCTTTACAGATACATCTAAATTGTAGCTAGAAAATAAAAAAAAAGTTTGTAGAAACCTTTTGAAGTTATGAAAAGTTAAGCATAAAGAACAACAATGTCATGCATTGCAATCTACGATAATTTAGGATGACCAATTGATTTAGAAAGATAAAAGGTATCAACATGCGTTTAAATGTACTCAATAGCATTGGATATCGATATACTTCAAGATATTAAAAGATTAGTACCATCAATTTTTAAAAGAATATAACTGTTGCTATGAGAACAATAGCAACTCTGGCCATATAAATTTAAATATTCCATAGTGTTCATATGCAACGATGAATGATGTATCAATCACTTTATCAGTAATTCCTGTACAATACTGTTAGGATATTCATCCAATATCCAAAGAGAATTATTGGTCAATTACTATTGGTTAATTCTTACAGGTCAATATTATGGTCGTCCTGACTATCAATGTCACAGACTTCAATGTTGGTTCCTATTCGACCTAACTGTGTAAATACACATTATCTGTAACGTTTAATAATCCGGACCCGGATCCCTAGTTCGGGATGCTGATTCTCTACTGGATTCGGACCTTGTACTTTCTGGATGCTTGTAGAATACACGTTCTACTTCATAAAAAGTCTTCTTCTTTTACTCAATAGGGGGTTTGGGACAAACGGATAAGAGTAGCCTGTTGTGTCACCGGATCCTCGCTCCCGTTTACTGACAGTGGTAGACTCGTAATAGATAAAGCATATCAAATGACGTGTTTTTACGTGCATGCGTAACAAATACATACACATATTTCACATTATCTTGCAGTATTCACACTCTGATCCATTTGTAGCTACTAGAGTATGTTTTGAAAAGATCAGGGAAAATTGTCGAGGCAGTTTAGTGAGGGAGTGACGCGCAAACCAGTAAAATCAATTCTACGCAAATGATAAAAGAAAAAAAAGCCAGATGTCATCTGCAAAATAAACTGCTCTGATTGCGAAGAAACATTATGGGAAAAAGTAGGCATGCTCCTTGTATTGATCCGTATAAATTCCAACGAACTGTCAAACCCTATGAAGTTTCCCTAATCACGTCAATGTATATAGACAATTACGGACACGTGTTCAGAGAGCGTTGAACAAGAGGAAATGAGAATTTTAGAAGTTTGGTATTCAAGTCAGTCTACAATTAATAGGCACATGGAAATCGACACAAAATGTTAATCAATCATAAAAGTTATGCATAACTATAAATTCGAAGACAAGAAAACTGAGGAGAATAACAAAAATAAATAGACAAACATTGAAAGGACAAGGATTAACAACAATCGATTAAGATTATAGTCTACAAGAACAGTTATATGCAGAGAAATTCGTATAGATCACTTCTGTTTAAAGTTTGTACTGATGGTGTTGTGTTACGTATGAACCTAAACATGTCAATTTCATATGCTTGAACTGTAACGAGTTTACCATAGTCAGTAAACGAGAGCGAGGATCGATGATCCGGCGACACGACATGCTATTCTAATCCGATTGTTCCGACCCCCCATCGAGTAAAAGAAGAAGACTTGATATGAAGTAGACCCTGTATTCTATGAGCATCCAGAAAGTACGAGGTCCGAATCCAGAAGAGAATCGGTATTCTGGACGAAAGATTTGGGTCCGTGTCCGGGTCATAAAACGTTACAAATAATGCATATTTATACAATTAGGCCGAATAGGAACCAATATTGAAGTCTGTGATGTTGATAGTCAGGACAACCATAAGATTGACCAGTAGGAATTAACCAATGAGGATTGACCAATAGAAGTAGACTCACAAGTATCTTAGGATATTGGATGAATATCCTAACATGTTGTCCTGAAGGAAACTGAATGTGTCAAGATTACACCGTGGAGATCAGAAAATGAAACACCATCAAAAAATTCCATATACTACTAAATCAGACAGTACTATCACACTTAGTCTTACGTAAAATGTAACAGTAACAATTGTAACTTTCATTTAGAGATATACTATTGTTATTGTATATAGGCATAATTAGGAAGCATCGATTCGAAAGAATTTTCAGTATGGATAATATAATTCACAAGTAGTATATGAATTGAAATGACCTTTTATTTTTCATTAGTGAATTATATGGAGATGGTTGTTTTACATTGAAATTGCGGAATTAATCGTTGTTAGACCACCATTAGAAACCTGGAAGCGCTGGACGAAGGTTGCGTCCAAGTATGGGACTCATCAGTAGTGCACACAAGCTCACGAGCCCCGCTCGCAGGAATCAAACGCAGGCACCTCAGTCTCGAGCATGAACGCTTGACCTCTAGCGATGTAAATGTCTAACTCTTTAATGAAAATATATCATTGCTAGGCTGATAAGCTAGTTCAATTTCCACGGGCAGGGGTCGAGGATGTACACTGCTGAAGAGTTCAATACTTGGAACAAAACGGCCATCCAGTACTTCCATGTTTCTAGTGCTGGTCTAACAATGATTGATTCACGATTGTAATGTAAATATTTTCATTTGTTTTTTTTATTCTAAATATGTTGTTACTTTTTATGACTGTCAAATTCTACAGTTATGTGAAAAAGTAGAAGTATTTATTTAATCTACGATTCATTCATTGAGACTTAATTTAATCAACATCAATAAGAGGATGAAACAACTGTCCAGTGCTTTCAAGTTTTCATTGGATTTTTTCGTAAAAACTTGAATCGATTAGTGATTTTAATAAAAATTAAACTATATCTATTCACAACCACGTTAAAACAAAATATTTTAGAGTTTAGACGTTTGCGCACAAGACCGAAGGTCCCAGGTTCAAATCCTGTAAGGTGCGGGAGTCGTGGATGCGCACTGCCACTGATGAGTCTCATACCAAGACGAAACGGCCGTCTTTCAGTACTTCCAGGTTTATAATATTGGTCTAACAATGATTGATTGATGATTTCAAAAATGTGTAAAAACACTCATCACCATAACTCTAATTGAAAATTAATTCAACTAACAGTGCATTTTGGCATTCTTCTTTATTGTCACTTTTTAAAGCTTCCAAATAATTTTGATTTAAGCTGTCAATAGACCCATTATCATTCACTTGTTCAGTTGATTTACGATTAAATCCACAAACTGCCCATGAAGATAAATGAGTGATTAAAGCAAATTCATCGGATGTGATCTTTGCTTCGTGTTCTAACCAATAACGACCAACCGTTTCATGCCAAGTACATTTGTGATGACAGCATACAGCAAACATTATACCTGAGAGGCTAAATAAATTTAAAATAACTAAACATTATATAACGAATGAAACTGCAGCAGATATTAATCAATACGAAAGAGCTTTATATCATTTTACACAGATCAATTTGATAACAAAATATCAGCCATGTCATTCAAGGTCTCTAACTATCAGTTGACAATGTCTCGCGTACGCCAACCAGTTAGTCTACACCTACTAACATGGATCAGTCCACTTGTCGCTGACTTGATGGATTCGAGTTATGTTTTGGTCTGGCCAACCCTAAGCTTTCTTCCAACCCACTACTACATCAAAAAACATAGCTCGTTGGAGCAGTCAGTGGTTGATAATTCATTACTCTTGTCTCAGCCACCTCAAGTCATATAGATTCACAACTTCACGTATTGATTTGACATCGTTAACAACAGCATTGTTTACTCAGCGGTCTCAGGATATACGAGCAAAGCTTCGGAGACACCTATGATTGAATACTAGTAACTTACGAACATCTACTCTTAGCGGTCACTTTTGATAGCCATAAATTAGGATGGAACAAAATTGCTGTGCATTAAAGTCGTTGTTTGGTTAGTAGTCATTTAGCCAACGAAAAAAATCTATTTTTAAAAATATTAAATATCTGATTTCATAAAGAATGAAGAATTCGCCTTTTGAGAGGATGGAGACGTGGTTGAAGAATGTTGTATACAGCATCAAATTGGAATGTAATGATTGGCCCATTTATAACCAATCAATGCTAACGGATGAGTTGAGAAGAAAGGAAATTTTCTGTGTAAAATTCGTCTATACATTGACATTTTGCTTCTTAAATTAGTTTGACTTCCCGTTTTCTGGGCAATGTATTTACATTCCCGTTCAAGTCGTTTCTTTTTTTGATTTGGGAAGCAGTAATGTCAAGTGAACTATCCAAGAATACTACTAGGCCATATAAAAGTAAACAATGTCATCAAACTTTATACTGAAAATTTATCATAAGAAAAAAGACAATGGACATACCTTATAACATTTTCAGCATTTTTCAAACAACGAAGTGATAAATCTGTAAGAGTTTATTTCAAGAAATTCGCATTTATCAAAATATTTTAATCTACAATTCATTATATTTCATGGATGATAACAAAACACTAACTTATTGCATCTAATAATTACAATTCTTATTTCATTGCTATGTAATCTCATTTATCTTAGTGAATTGATAATAATGACAGGTTCATCTTGAGTTTAATTTTATTCTTACAAACGTTACGTAACTAAATATCTATGGTATTGCTAAATTATCTCAACATCATTTAATTGGTCAATCAATCAGTTAGTTACAACGTAGAACTTCGTACGTATATACATCAGTTCATGTTGCAACACCGCATTAGCACACAGACGCAACTGTCAATTGAAATCCAATAGTGGTAGCGATAGTAGAAGTATTAGCAGTAGTGGAGAGGATTAGGGTTCGAAGATACGATTCGAGAAGTACAATTCAGTGAGGTAACTTGAGAAGGGTAAAGATGATGAGGAATTCGGAAGGTTAGAATTTAAGAGAACACAAAGAGTTGATGCACCTGAACCATTGCAAACGATTTTGAGCCATGTTGTTCAAGGTCCCTAACCATCGGCGACTTTAGTTTCGCGGACCCAAACCAGGTAGTACACACCTACCAGCATGACTCAGTTCACTTGTCAGTGATTTCATGGATTTCTGCCATGTTTTGGTCCTCTACTCTCACC